TAAAAGGACTTTCAATGGCTTTTATACTATTGGTCCCCAATGGTCCTTTGGTACTGCTAGTAAAGTCGGTTATTCAAATGCGAGTCGGGTTAAGGGCCCTTCACACTCTTCTTATCCCCAATCGATTAACGGAGTTATTGAGGTCTTCGTGCCCTCTTTCTCTTCGGATGTGGGTCTACAAGAAGTCAGGGCGGTTGGATTACATGAATAGTACGGACGACGCCTACGGGATCGTTAGTATAGTTGTAAACTGGTCGTTTGTGTAACGCGTGTTTATAGCAATTCACCATGCGCAATAATACGGCATCGCCTGGAAGCAATGACTTCACACGCCTCGATGGTTCTACAACTACATGGAATTCAAAGTGTTAGGAAAACACCGGGTTTTCCTAGGGTTTTTTTTCAATACATACGGTTTTCGAAATGTACACAAGTTTAATGAACAATTTTTACAACCATAGAAACAAACAAGCATACTTATGGATCTTAACAAACTTTTTCATAAACTCTTTTCAGAAAATATCAGATTTTCTGGTAGTTTTTCAAAATAATACAAAACGCTGCTTTTCAAATACCGGTTATGAACTCACCAACATTTCATATGTTGATGTTTTTCAAAATACTTGTATTCTCAGGTAACATGTAAACGGAAGGAAAAATGTACTCAGTGATGGCTTGCAGTTTGTTTATCTATGAACCGAATAATTTATTTTTGGGAATGTAATGCTAAAACAATGTACTCAGTGTAAACTTTATCAGTTGTACTATATTAATGCATGGTGATGAATGATGTTATGTTTCATATATATTCAATGTTATGGTATTCAATTAAGTCACGACAGCCCTCGGATGTTTCCGCCGTCTGGTTCGGGGTGTGACAGGTATGTCCATCTCCATGTGGGTTTTGGTTCACTAGCTTAGGTGTCAATGTGTTCTTGACGATTGGTCATTTCATACATAATCAAACCATATATTTTTCGGAAGTTTTGGGTGTGTATTATGGTAAGTTCATCAGATAGTGTCGCAAGGGTATGTGGGCTGGTCAAGATAGCAATGGAGATCTTGGTTCAAATCATATGCATGGTTCTTATTTGGATTATAGCCTTTGAATTGGAACAAGAGTACCACCGTTAATCTGATTCTCAGGTCGTGTGTGCCCATGTTTTCGTCGGATTTTGCGTTGGTGGCAGCTTGTAATATGAAAGGATTTATATGTGGTAAAAGAGTATAAAATTGTTGGACTCGGTTAGCATGGAGAGGGACATAGACTAGATTCCTGCAAGGTGGTAGAATGAGGCTGAGTCTCCGTAGGCCCCCGTGGTGCTGGTCGTGAGTTTCTAGGAGAATGATGGAATGACGGAAAAATCGGTGTATTACCGAGAGCATTTTAAACATGAGTTGAGGGCCGGGAAGGGCATTCCAGACTTATGTTGTGGGCTCGTACGTAATCCAGACCTATGCTGAGGACCTTGTAGGGGTATCCCACACATAGGCCGTGGGCTTAATGATCATGATAATTTATTTCTTATGCATGTGGTACTTTTAGTTTTGGTGTATTGTTAGAAGTCTGGAGACTCATGAACTAGATGGTTTGCATAAAGTGAGTAGTTAAAGATTTTTTTGTTGGGAGTATCAGTTGTGTATCAGAAATCTTTGGAGAGTGTTTGCATTATAAATCTTGTTTGATTGTGATATGTTATTAGGGGTTTGGTTACCAAGGTTGGGTATTAGTTATGGAGACTTGAGTCATGAGTTCATTGTGAATGTCTCGAGTGATTTTCCAGGTGGGGATACACCTGAGCTGAAAAGGGTTGGATGCAACGTGACTTGGATTGATCATCTTTGCTCATAGGAGCAGTGGTTGGTAATGGTGTGTCAAGGAGTCAAGGGTTTATTTAAGGTTTTTGGTAAATTTTATGAATTTGGAATTGGTTGAAATTCACAGTCGATGTGTTTTGGGTACTTCATTCCGTGTGTTTGGCGATTTTCTTGCTCAAAGACAATGGATGGGTTCATCGAATGGATGAATATTAGTCCTGGATTGTGGGTTTTGAAGTCTAGATCTGATGTGTTCCCAGTCTCAGGAAGCATATTGATAGATTTGATTCGGTGATTGTAGATTTGAGAGTCCTCATCTATAACATCCATAAAATTCATGAAAATCTAAAACTTCTTCAAGCATTCAAAACCAGTAATTATTACAATTTGCTTTCAAAATGGTTTCATGTCAGAGTATCCCGATATCAAATCATAAAAAAATATATGGAGGTGCACGATCATGCCTTCTCCTTCCCGTGATCATCAGAAGTACCTGAAACAAAATCAATAACTGTAAGCCTAAACCTTAGTGAGTTCCCCCCAAAATATCAATACATAACAAGTAGCACACATAATAACATGTAATGGGTCCACAACTCTACAGACTGGATTACCCCTAAGCTCACAGTGTGAGTTTGGCTTGCCTTTCGGGCCCACAACTTACATCTGGCTTGCTACGAAGCCCACATCATAAGTCTGGTTTGCTCTCGAGCCCACAACTTACGAATGGCTTGCCCCCTTTAGTCCTAAGACTGTAATATAACTGATCATCCCCTCAATGCGAGTTTGGCATGCTCCCCTGGCCCTAAGCTTGCATCTGGAATGCCTAGGAGTCCTAAGTATACGTATGGTATGCTCTCTCGTCCCTCATCTCATATTTGGCATACTCCAGGGTTTGTTGGTCACCGCACGTGCCACCTCAACCTACACACACAACATGTCGACATATAACAGCTAAATGCACATACAAATAATTAAACAGGAACGTAGGTGGTCCAACAGATCTTCCAAATTGGCATAGCAAAGTATCATGCATAAATATATCATACTCAACATATCATCAACTACTAGGATACCAGATCCAATGGGCTGGCCTTCGTGCCTTCGAACCCTAAGTATAATAAGGGCAACTCACCTCATAATGTCAATCAGAACTGAAATATCAAACTCCCGAAATATGGCTCTAATCACCAAATCCTACAACCACCAATGATCCACTTGCATAAATACCCAAATTACCAAAATACCCTCGAAAGTCAAACTGGTCAACCCTTGGTCAAAGTCGAAGTCAATAGTCAACGGTAACAGTCCATGTTGACACGTCTCGTCGAGTGCAACTTACAGACTCATCGAGTTCCTTTAGAAATTGATAGGAATGTATCCTTTATGATCGAATTGATTAAAGCAGGAAAAACAAGAACATTATATAATCAAACAAGTTTTAAATGAGTAATAATCACGCCTCAGAAGAACTCGATGAAGAATTGCTTCTGTAGAGGTGGAAAGTAGGGTTACAAAATAATACTAAAACGTTAGTTAGAGACGTAGCATGAATGAACAATATATACAAACCCTAGCAGTAAATACGAGTGGACGGGCCCAACTCGTTTATACAAAATGGACTCAAAAGAATAGGCCTAATGATGCAACACTTAATCTTCAACAATCTCCCCCTTTGCATCAATTAAAACCCTAGCCATTTAATTCTTAATTCGCTTATGCACTTCATAGACCTTGGGAATGAAGCCCAATAGCAGCTTGCAAACTTAAATATACCAAGTGATCACATCTGTGAAACACTTCACATCATCCTTGTTGTTGCCTCTGAACTTCGCAAGCAACTCCTAGATAAACTCTAGACAGGAAGTGGTAAAAAAGTGCTTCTCTTCGAGATGGAAAAATAATTTGCGTCGATCAGCTCCCTGACGATCTGTAGATGTATATACCAAAACCACCTTTCTTTGAAAAATTTCCCTGGCTTGAGCTTCTCAAAATCTTTTGGGGCTTCTTTTTGAACTGAACTTGGGTTGTACCTCAAAACAGTAGCAATATCAACATCCATTGATCCAACTTCTTGAGTATTATGATAACTAGAATTTGATCAGTTGCGCAGGGACAAGGTTTGAGAATACAATCCTTGAATGAATGCTTAAGATCAATGTTTGCTTACTATAAGAAGTTCAAGTCTAGATTGCAAAGACCAGTCAAGTCTTAGATATTATATTCAACAAATGATCAAGACATTAAATGAAGAATAAAAGTAAATGATCAAGGTAAAGCTAATAAATGAAAAACAAGAAGAATGTTTG